TCTCTCTCTCTCTCTCTCTCTTAAGTGCTTCATTTCTTTTATCTATCGATACCTAACAAGATAGGAATTAGTGTTCATTTCGGGAAAATTAGTTGTTTGGCTGCCTATTTCCAAACCATGTTACATTCCAACAATTATAATATTAAAATCTCAGGTTCACACTAGCTGCTAACTGTTCTTGGAGAACCTGTTATGTCACTGTTTTATCACTGTTTCTTTACGTCCTTCGGTGGCACGTCCTTTAGTCCTGGCCCGTGGGTGGTTGGTGGGTGCTCTGGTGTTGTTTGCTCCTTCTTTCCTATCAAACATCTTTCGTCCTGATCTCTCCTCTTTTTTGTGCTTGTTACTCGTTTGTAACACCTCTAATCTTCAGCACTTATATGACCTTATTGTGTTGAAAGTGCCGCAAAACTTTTACTAAAACTAAAAACTAGAAGTCCCGGCCCTTCGTGAATCTATTATTATTTGTTTTAGATCAGAAGTTGACAATTCAGTTTCCGTTCAGGTGACAATTTGTTCTTCCAAACTCTGTCTTAAGACCAGCTGTTGAAAGTAAAGAATAGTCCCAGTGACATCATCAGCTGCTGCCGTGGCGGTTCGGCGTAGAGTAAATGTCTAGTTGAGTTCTCGGCACTGACTCTACTTACCACACACACCCTGGGTCTCCACTCTGGGAGGAGCCAACACCAGGAGTAGACGTGAAAGACGATTTTATTAGTGGAGATTTCAACTATAGTGCGGTCAAAAATTCATGTTGCAACTTATCGTCAAATATCTTTTCAATGGGTGAATTAATGTTATCCATACTTTGCCCACCAGTTTGTATCATTTTGTCTTAACCTAATCACATTTTTTTCTCAAAAACTTAGGTTTGATTTAAAAACTTTTCTTCAAAAATTTATATAAAATACTATGGATCTCCACCGCGCGGAAAATACCATTGCTAACAGCACTTCCCTCCTCTCGCTCACATTTTGATTACGCCCACGGCCTATATCACAGCTGGCCAATTACACTCTTTAAGGGCAAAACTTCTTACAAGAAATTAATTTTATAGTGAACACAGTTTTTGCACTAAAGGTTCCCTAAACATACGTTCAATAAGCATAATATATCGATTAGAAAAAAAAATGACAGCCTTGCTTTATTAAAAAGCGATTTTGCCCGCGCTGTAAACTTTAAAAAATCTGTAGAAACCATTGACTGGGATTTTTTATGAGTATTTATTCAGGAATTTTCTAGAATACAGTGTGCAGGTGATTGAAAAAATATTCATCAGTTAAGACAAATTATTGATAAAAGTCATAGTGCAAAAGTTGGAAAATCTAAGTTCAATAGTTAAGGAGATATTTGATAATTAGTTCCGCCACGAATTTTTGACCGCACTTTTGACATTTACCTGGGGCAGTTACGAAGTCCAGATGTGTTCATTGCTTGAGTATGTAACTGGTGTGTTCACTGCATGAGCATACAACTGATATGTTGATTGCTGGACCAAGAAAGTGATGTGTTTATTACATGAACACATAGTCTGAACCTAACTATACACAGAGCCTTCGATCCCCTGAACGCTTCCACGATCTTCGTTGTGTACAAATACGCCGTTATCACCGATGGTTTATTTGCCAGTCATACAGTAATGAGTGTCTTCACAGGTATCTTTGGCAGTGAATACACAAGAAGTAAAATCTGTTAGTTTCTGTAGCATTTTTTTTACCATTAGAGAAAGTGAGGACTATTAAGGATGTGGCAATAGAATATAATCCGACAATTAATATTGATGTGGTGGCTGCTAGAATATACTCCGCACGGTTTACTTTGAACCTGGGACACGAGCTACAGAAATACAGTCTACATGTATTACTGTTTTACCATTTGACTACAAAATCGTTCATTCCTCTTTTTGAGGCACAAAATTTAACCGTCTGTATAAATGTGTATATAATTCTATTCTTAAGAATTAGTGTATTTTGTGTTCAAAAGAGCAGGATGAAAGATTGTTGTGCAAGAGCGTTGCACTTTACACATCACAATTTTTACATATCAATCGATGTAAGAAATCAAGCACTTGAGATAGATAGATAGATAGATAGATAGATAGATAGATAGATAGATAGATAGATAGATAAATAGAGAGAGAGAGAGAGAGAGAGAGAGAGAGAGAGAGAGAGAGAGCGAGAGAGAGAGCGAGAGAGAGAGAGAGAGAGAGAAGAAAAGAAAGGAAGAATAATACATGTATAGGCTTTTTGATGGTGTACACCTCTGTTGTTTTATTCTATGAAGTTGTTGCTTTAAAACTGACGAATCAGACGAGTCATTTCTGACTAAAGTTTAGTACATTCCCCATTTCCAACAAACCTAGCTTGTGCTATTTTTCTGGTTTTATGTACCGTGCACCCCGATCTGCTGAAGTATATGAAAATATATTTGAAAGAGAGATACGTGCTCTCCTTCAATCAGATGAAATCAGCAACGCAAGTTTCATTTGCCCTCTTTATCTTTAAAATTAAAATAATATTATATTGTTTAATGACAAACAGAGAATTGCACAAGGACTTTTAATTGTATACTCATTTTTTCTTTGTTTACTCCATTGTCTGCGATACACAGAGGGAAAAAAAAGCAAACGATCAAAGAGCTGATACAACTTTGTCAAGCTATTACAACGAGCTACAGCCAAAGCTCATTACACCGTCCACCCTTATACAACCAGCCTCGCCAACCGCCAGGTTTTACCTATGCACGAAAAGATACGCCTATACAAACATACTCTTCGCCGCTTTAAACCACCTCCCACTATTCGCCAAATGTCTGAGATGTACGGTCCTAGCAAAACTAATGTGATATTGCCCCGCAATACCGCCGTCGAGCTGACTGCCAGAGAAACACAAAAATATACAGCGCACAACACCCAATTAACATTTTAAGGGATAGAAATTATGTCTGGTTCTTTTGGTGTGTGTGTGTGTGTGTGTGTGTGTGTGTGTGTGTGTGTGTATGTGTGTGTGTGTGTGTGTGTATGTGTGTGTATGTGTGTGTGTGTGTGTGTGTGAATGAGGCCAATTTAACAAGAGGCAACATTGGAATCCCCCAATGAAACCCGCCCTGCGAATCAGTCAACCTCATGCCCGTCCCAAGACTGACGGTATGGCGAGGTTTTTGATTGTATTTCCCCTAAGAGTTCAATGTTTCCAAGTTCGTCCATCTCCATTCACAGAGCTCTGGTTCAGACTGTTAAACAAGCGCTTTATTTCATGCATGTTGGTATTGTTGATATTGTTGTTTTTATATGTTTAATGCACCATCCCCTAACCACTTTCAACCTTCTCTAGTTGGAATAAAAGTATGTTCTTCATAACGATTTTATTATTGTTAAAGTCTTTTTATTTAAAAATCAAAATGTATCATTTATTTTATTAGGTGGTTGCACCACTTACTCAACTGACATCGTGCTGGGTATAAGTGCTCATGTCTCTGGTTCGAATCCCTTTCTGGTTTGGTTTGTTTAGGGAAATTTTCAAGACTTTCCTCCGCCTTGCTTTGTCTTATCAGAGGTGGGGCAGTGCGTTAGCTCAGTTGGCATCATGTTGGACCACAGAGAGGATTTGGACCACAGAGAGGATTCTTATGGTTCGAATTCCAGACTCGGGTCGTTTTGTCTTTTCATATGGTGATTTTGTAGTAATTTTTCCTTACACACTGTGCCCAAACGATGTTCTCTGAAATGTGCACACAGATATTCCTTTTGAAGTCAAAAATTGAGCAGAAACGTTTCATGTCTTCTTTTGTTGAGAACTTTAATGGCACATCGATATCAAACGAAGCCAACGCACAAGATCGATATTGACAACATGAAATTGTTTGCACAAACCATTCTTACAATTTTAGCACAGGAATTTTAATGACGCTTCCATTTTTGCCTTACACCCTTTGTCACACAACTCAAAGAAATTTTAAAGCTCGACAATCGTACGAAACAACATCAATCAATATTATACAAACATAAAATAATAATAATAATAATAATAATAATAATAATAATAATAATAATAATAAAGACTATTAAAAATAGCACATTAAACAATCTTATCTTTTGATTTCAGGGACATAAAACAAAACGAAGCCATAACTACAACAACTTCTGATTTGTCCATGTTCTCTTGTTACTATGATGAGGCTGACCGACCATTCTGGTGTATTTTTCAATGAGCTTCAGCTAAGAGTAGTTTGAAAGACTTTGAAATGCATATCGGATGTATAGAAGCGCGCAGCCAATGAAGAGAGCCTTTGATACGTTTGGGGGGTCTGCCAAATTGTGGTCATCTGATGTTGTCATCGTACCTGGAGCAATAAAGTAACAGTTAAAGGCGTGTGTTGTATGAAATAGCAGCCATGATATTAATAACAGCAATAGCAACATTAACAACAACAACAACAACAGTAAATAACTACTATAACTACTACTACTACTACTACTACTACTACTACTACTACTACTACTACTACTACAACAACACTAGCAGCAGCAACAACAATAGTAATAATATTAATAATAATGTTAATAATAATAATAACTATAATAATGATAAAATGGATAATGATAATAATACAGTTTCAACAATAACTATAGCAATCACATCAGCAGTACCAGCACCAGCACTAACAATATCAACAGTAACAATAACACAACCACCACCATCACCATCATCACCACCAGTACGACAACCAACATCACAACCAACCCCACCAACAGCAACAGTAGCAATAGGAACAACAACAGCAAAAACAACAGAAACAGACTCAAGTAAAATTTGATAAAGAAGCAAACCAATTACTAGTGTGTACAGTCAAAAACCATTTTTCACCAAACAAAATGTAAAATTGGCCTGCCACTAAAGCATTCACTAATTTCTTCTATTCATAAAACTCTCACTCCCCAAAACCACAACAACAATTAAAAAAGACCCCCCCCCCCCGTACACACACGAAAATGAAAAAAGAAAGATGAAAAAATCGACTCTTGAGTAGACTTCCTTCATAATTACCGCTTACGTTTAGTATGTCAGAATTTTCAAGTTATGGGGTAAAGATAACCCCTTTTTTCCCAATCAAGCATCTACCCTCCTTTTCTCTCTTCCCTGGGTCCTACTGTAAGTCACTCTCTTACTACAAAACCTTCGGTTCTTATGTAACCTATTTATGTTGCAAGTGTCATTAAAAGTAAACCTCTTCTATTCTTCTGAACCTAAAGAAAAACGAAAGCTAACCATTAGTGTACTCTCAAAACTCACTCTATTAATCATCCACAGTCTGCAGTAGCACCTATTTCATCTTTAAAAAAAACAACAACAAAAACAAAACAAAAAACAACCCCTAAAAACAGGGGAAAAAACCCACAACAACCAAAACACCCAAAACAAAGAAGCACTCTTAGATTCTACTCAAACTAAAGAACAGCTTTACTCAAGCTACCCCAGGATGTACTCACAAAACTTATTGTACTGATCATTGACACTCTGCAGTAGAGCAAACACCAATTTCATCTCCTCATTGATGGCGCTGTCTGACCCTCCGCCCGTGTCATCCTCCAGTTTACAGAGATCATGGTCGAAGCATTCCATGGCTTTTTTCAGGGAACTAGTCAACAAAACCGGGACATAGTGTTGTTATTAACAGTCTTTGATTGTGTAGGAGAAGAGGCATTGGGGTATTTTGGTATAAACGGCGTTTGACAGACAAACAGACAAACAAACAGATAGATAGATAGATAGATAGATGGATAGATAGATAGATAGATAGATAGATAGATAGATAGATAGATAGATAGATAGATAGACACACACAAGCAAAGAGAGAGAGAGAGAGAGAGAGGAAGAGAGATAGAGAGAGATAGAGAGAGATAGAGAGAGAGAGAGAGAGAAGGAGAGAGAGAGAGAGAGAGAGAGAGAAAAAGAGAGAGAGAGAGAGAGAGAGAGAGAAAGAGAGAGAGAGGGAGAGAGAGTTATAGAAAACCTGATATTCTGTATTTTTCTGATAAGCACTATGGGGCTTTTACCTATGAGATTCCTTGAATTAGAACAGTGCTTATTAATCATGGGCGATAGGATCACGTGGGTATAGTAATATGCCCCACCAAAAATACATGTACGAACATGTTAGCCTCTTAAAGGAGTCCAGCGAGGACACGCACTAACTTAAAAAATGTTGACAAGCACTGTCCAATGAGTACGGGAAGATTGAGGGCCATTTTTTATACCTTGAAATAATATACCAATGTGTGAGTGCAGTAAAAAAAAAAAGGATGTAAGGAGAGCGGATGACTGAATGGGTGATATTATTATACAGTTGAATGATTGTTGGACAACTGAAACAGTTTTCAATAAGTATATAACTACATAATGAAATGCCGAGCAACTATTTTGTTAGACAGTCAGATCTATTAAACAGTGGAAAACAAAAATAGAAATAATGACTAGATTTGAGATGGGTTTCTCTTTGCGAAACAGACAAATTTGAAAGGTAATTGACGAAATTATAATAAAATGGCCCGAGTAGGGTAGTGGCAGATGTCACATATAAGTGGGCGATTATTTCAGTACAAAACTGTTAGCCTCTTAAACGTGGTAGGATAGAGGGAAAGAAGAGCATAGGAAGAAAAAGAACAACATACAGGTATATAGATGGCTTGAACAACATTGCAACCAGTAACACAAAGAGAAAAACGGCTGATCAAGAAGACAGACAACAGGAAGGAATGTGTATCATGATCGCCAATGTCTGCTCCGGACTTGACACCGAAGAAAAAGAAGAAGCTTGGAAATTCATATAGATGAGCGGTACGAACATATTAGCCTCGGGTGGCAAAAATGGGCCATGGCTGTAAAAAGACAGTTGGCAACCTTAGAATTGCAAATTTCTATTTATAATTTCTGGATGTTTTAAGTTACTAAGACCGTGGGGTCAGAAATCCAGTATACTATCTGACGCTGCTCTATCAAAATCGTAAAATCATTCAAATCGGAGTCGCTATCACAATATTCAAATAATTGCATTAAAAAGCCATGTTGTTAAACTCAAAATATTAATTTTAAATTATCAAAACACTAGATCTAGATCTAGGTACTGAGCATATAGAACTTTGTAATTTTAAGGTAGCGACATATTGTATGTGGGTGATAGATCGAAAATATTAGCCTCTTAAAGGTGGCAAAAGTGAGTGCTGGCTGTATAAAAATGTTGACAAGCAGTGGTCTCTTTCAACAAAAGACATACCCACAGTCAGACGGGTTACAACAAAAGACATACCCACAGTCAGACTGGTTACAACAAAAGACATACCCACAGTCAGACTGGTTACAACAAAAGACATAGCCACAGTCAGACTTGCTACAACAGAAGACATACCCGCGTCAGACTGGTTACAGCAGAAGACATACCCACAGTCACACTGGTTACAACAAAAGACATACCCACAGTCAGACTGGTTGTTGAAGCGGCGAGAAGCCTGGAGGCAGCGGTCTATGACGATACGACATCCGGGGCTGACAGAGCTGGTCACTGTGTGACACGTCAGAGCTTCCGGGGAGAGAAAAAACGGGGGTGTAGGGAGTGTGACGTAGATCGCACATTTTTCTTTCGTATTCCATCATCATCATCATCATCATCATCATCATCATCATCATCATCACCATCATCATCATCATCAACAAAATAATAA